ATAAAAAAATTTTTAGCCTCTTTATTTAAAAGTATTAATAAAATAAATAGCATTAAAAACAAGGCAAAACAATTACATAATTTAAATATATTATATACTATAGCCAAATAAAAAAAATACATTTTACTTAATTTTCTTAATTTTCCCTAAAAAAACGACGTTATCACTTCTAGGAAAAATGTGTGCCCGCGGACAGTCAAAAACCATACGACAAAAATTAAAAATAAATAAAATTTTATCCAAACATTTTGACTGTATTGTTTGAAATAAAAATGTCACTTAGGAAAAAATAAATTTAAGTTCAATATGTCTTGAAAAGTATAAAATAGCGTATAAAAGTGTAAAATATGCCCTAAAAACAGAAAGGACTCAAAATATGCATTTATATGCAAAATAAAATTTCAAAACTAACTTTGAGAACTACCCGTTTGCGTTTCGGTTATCACGTTAATTCATTGTTCATCACCGGTCTCCCAGTTTTAATCGTTTCGTGTGTACTCGAAACCCGAACACTACGAACGCTATGACGTGGTGCACAAACTCCGTTCAGCATTCGTCGCGCTCAGTGGCGTACCTGCGGGGAGGAGTGGGACATTCGCCCTCCCCCCTCGTGGGCCGTAAAATTAAAATATGTGTACATTGTTATTTGTTTTTATGTGTTTACAATATTATTATGAAATTTTTTTTCTCGAATTAGTTGATAACTATAAGGCGGCTTGCTCACAATAGTTGTTTCTCTAATCTCTATTATTATTTTTTCAATTTATTACTATCATTATGTTGTTGATTTATTGTATTTAATATTTTGATATTGTCAACGCGACAGCGAGACAGCTGCTATGTCATGTCTTTCACGACGGCCGGTCGTCATGGATTAAATTGTGGCTACGCCGATCCCCTTTGACCATCACCCAAGATTTGTGGATAATATTATTATCCGTTGCCTCTTATCATTGATTTTCAGTTACAAAATAATAAATAAATATTATATCTAAATTCCTAAGTGTTAGTACTTAGTAGTTAATAATATTATTCGTTATGAACAAGCAAAGTAATCTAAGTAGTTGGCTGTGTAAGCAGAAGCAGAACCATCCATCAACAGCAACAAGTATAGATAACAATCATATTTCAATACAAGCAAATGAAAATGAAAGTAAGACAAGTAATACAGTTAAAAATGATGATTCTATTACCAATACTTCGTCTACCCCCAAAAAGAGAAAAGTTGATTTCTCAGATCAAAAGGTACATAATGTTTTGTCTCCTAGTGAAAGTTCAAGTAATAAAGATTAAACTTTAGAACTGTTTAAATTCAGTGATGACATAGGGAATGTTTTAAGACTTGCTAATCCTTCTGATCATATTAAGTTTAAGATTCTTGAGAAATTGAATATCCCAAAAAACAATTTCGTTTGTCCTTTCTCAATACATATTAAGAAAAGCAGAGAAGAAAAACGGTTTCTTAAGCGCTCACATTATGAAAAATTTAAGTGACTTGTCTATTCAAAATCAAAAAATGGTTTGTTTCGTAAATGTTGTGTTTTTTTTTTAGCAATAAAGGTGGTAAAGACAATAATGTGAAACTGAAAAAGTTAGTAAATGAACCATTAAATAAGTTTGCTAAATTGTTAGGGAAAGATGGTGATTTAAAGAAACATAATTCAAATTTATATCATTTAAATGCTTTAACATCTGCTACTGATTTTTTGAACTGTTATAAAAATCAAAAAAGGGAAATAATAAATATTGTTAACATTTCAAGAATTAAGTAAGTTTTAGAAAATAAAGAGAGACTAAAACCAATTATTGAATCCATTATTTTTTTTTTTTGCCGCCAAAATATCACATTAAGGGGGCATAACGATTCAGGGAATTTGTTTGGTGAAAATACAGATAAAGAAATAAAAGAATCTATTTCCCCCGTTACTTTACTAATAGTGGTAATTGTCGAGCTCTTCTTAAGTACAGAATATTATCAGGTGATACTATACTTGAAAAACATTTAAAATCAAAATTATCAAAAGCAACATATAAGTCCAAAAATTTAGAATGATATTATTGAACGTTGTAAAAATTATATAACAGAAAAAATTATTAATGAAGTTCATGAAAGTAATTTCTACAGTATAATGTTTAATGAGACTACTGATATAAGCCACATTTCACAAATGAGTCTTATACTCAGATATGTTCATAATAATATTATGAAGGAAAATTTTGTCGCTTTTATTGATTATCACTAGAGCGCGGATTTGTATGCACTTAAAAGTATCGAAGTATGCCATATAATACGCAGTAAAAAATCATGAAAATATGCAAAAAATATGCAGTCAAAATCATGAAAATATGTAAAAAATATGCAGTCAAAATTATGAAAATATATAAAAAATATGCAAGAATTTTTTATTTATTTAAAATTTATAATTCAACTTATAAAAATTAATTACTTAAATACTTAATACAAAAAAATGTAGGGAATTTTCTAAACATAATTTATTTTTAAAATTTTATTTATTATTAAAATAAATAATCATATGCATTTCAAGTTTATCTTCTGTGAAGCTGTGTCGTTTATCGGTTTTGAAATTTTGAATTTTGACAAAAAATATGTAAAAATATGTAATAACCTCTAAATATGCAGAAATATGCAAAAAAAAAAAATTTACCATTAGCTTCAAATTATTGAAGATTGCTGTGTAATAATTTTTCAGTCGTACCTGTCGATATATTTTCGTTATATCAGCCGAAAATGCATAATTATGAGTTCTAAATCGAATTATGATAACTAATAAGTCCGGTTGTACTTTGGGATCGTTCATTAACATGTCATTTTTAACGACACCACTATACTGGTTTTCGCTGATCCGTCAAACACAACGCGCAGCTTGGTCGTTCTACTATGATCGTTTAATACGAACGAATGCTGTAAATAGAAACATTTATTGTTTTCGATTAACTAACTGATTATCACCGCTTGCATTGCCTATACATCCCATATGTTTTAAATTATCATACTATAACATAAACATTTATACTTAACATTTAATTCAGAATCTTTAACAATCGTTTTTCTAATGATAGAAATCTGCGTAACGCTGAGTTGAATGAGTTGTCCAGCTGTTGGTTACAATTTACTTTGAATGGTAATTTTACTATGGATTTGCCATCCTCATTTTGGTAGACGTTTTCGGAAAAATGTGTTAAGTACAATTTTTGTTCGTCGGTGAAAATATGCTTCGAAGGTAACTCTTCCATTTTCCAAAATAATTCGATTTTATCATCTAATAATTCATACTGATGTTTCTTTGTTGATAAATACGAATTTAATTTGATATCATTCATATCTATTAATGATTTACTTACCACTACCCACCCGAACAATGTTCTTTGCAGATATGGGCCTTCTTTGATCTTGAGCTTCTCGGCACATATTATGTCCCAATACGTTTTTCCGCCGATAAGAACATCGATATTACCCGGATGATTGAACGATGGGTCTGCGACATTAACGTTGTCGGGAAAACTCACATTGCGTATCGGTTATGTGGTAATGAACCGGTTATTTTTGATAAGACTAGAAATTCGATAGTCTTTTTATGCGAACTATCTAATGATTGAACAATAGCAGAGAGTTTGTACTTAATATTATTTTTCGATTCTCTTATTCCACATATTGGTATATTTACTTTCTGACGTTTGAGTCCAAGTTTATGTACTAAATTACTCGTAATGAAATTTCTTTGAGATCCATTATCTAACAACGCTCGACCGTGTATTTGTCTGCCGACGGAACTCATTATTTTTATTATTGCTGTCACTAATAATACTTGATTATTGGTTTCGGCATTCACTATATGTGCAACCAATGTATTCCCATCATTTGCAACACTCTGTATACTTCCTTCACCCGAACTGGCTTATTTTTCTTGATGTAAAAGTGAATTATGAAGTTTTTGACATCTTCCACACTTTCGCGATAGACATTGACTTTATTTATTCTGGTCGCTATATCAAGTGCCAGAAATATAGTGCACTTATATATTGAGTGAAATTGTTGACACAAATAACATTTCATTTTTGATGTAGTTAAAACTGTCGACGCACCTTCTTTGTACGTTTCAACTTTTGAGGTTCTAGTTGACGAACAATTTGATTAATTTTGCTTGAATGTTAATAATTTTGCATTTTCGATCGAATCTAGCATCTAACTTCTTCTACATAGGAACTCAATCATTAATTCTACACCCGGTGAGTCTTCTCTCGACACTTTCGTTTCCCATTGACGTATTGTATTTGTGTCGAGTTCTGTATATATGACATGTAATAATAACGCACCCCAATTGTACGGATCATGATTTAAAGCTTTTAATGCTTGTATATGCGCGTTTAGATTGAATCGGTTAAATGCCTTAACTTAATAGCTGATTCTTTATTGATTGGTTCCAGTTCAAATATACGCTTCGTGTGT